GGCTTGACTGGCTGCTGCTACATATCGGACTAATTCGTTCAACAAAACTGGAACTAGAGATCGGAGCTTCATTGTGAGCTACTCTGATTGAAAATGGATAAAATTTGATTTCAGGTTTCAGACTGTCTATAGGTAGTGTTACAAACTAAGCGCTCTATCTTATAAATATAAGAATAACTAGTAACCTTAGTTCACAGCTTTTTGGTCAGACCTAAGAAGGCAAAGATCAACTAACATGCCGTTTACGAGCCAAGTAAGCACGCTCCGCCCATCTTTGTAAAGAGTTGACGGGCTCGGTGGCAGGTTCCATCGCACGTTGATCAGGAGTCAACATTACCCCGAGCTAGCAGCTAAGCACTTCGGCCTTTCCCCGCAAATCTCCCCGCGTTTTGCGTTTACCGCATGACATTTCTTAGCAGCTTCCCCTGTAGAGGTTATATAGCCGACGGATATTAGGTCGCCAGGAACTTGTGTGCAGAGTACTGCCATTGCCAGCCTACCACAGTTTCGGCACCTCTTAAATATTTCACGAGATCATAGCACAAATTAATTTTCCAGGAATCATATTCATCGATACGATAGGCAAAGGCTTGTTCCACGAATTCTCGGTGTGACAGTGATTTCAGCCGTGATTTTCCGTACTCTCTAGTTCTACAAGCTAAGAACTTAAGAGCTATTAGCAGCTGTTCTTCATTTTTGGTGGACTTCAGGTGTTCTAAGGCCTTAGAAAGGTGTGAATAATGACGAGAGAACCACCATGCGTTCTTTAATAAAAACTCTTGTGTTTGTCTAGCAAGTTTGCAGCCATGCTAATAGTAGTCTATGGAAAGACTCGTCACGTGTAAAACAATATCGTCGTCGCCGCAATTATGTACTTCACACATAATGCCAGACTTGATTTTGAATATTCCGTTTGTCGAGATGACGAAGTCTTCCTTCTCCGTGTCAAGTTTCACAGACAATTTGGCACCTGCTGCAATAGAGCAAATACGTGTCTTGCTAGATTCAACATCAAAGCGGAAGGACAGACCTGTCTTTACTGTGAGGAGGCGAAAAGACACGCCAGTATGAATTTGAACAGTATCGCCACCAGAGAGATAGGTCTTGGAATATGCGATATCTATAGATTGGTTAGTTAAATCAGTCATGTTGATGATGATGACTCTGCTCACTGTCGGGCTCATCCCCGGCTGCTTCTTGTACTCGGCCCGGTGCCGTTTCCCAAGCAAGCTCCCTCGCCGTCTCAGCTCTGGCTCGCTCACCATTGATTGGTTCCACGTCACTGCTGCTCAACCTTCTTCTTTTTCGAGAAGGCCTGTCGAGACTGGGGGGAATGACCTTGACTGCCTTTGTTAATTCATCAGGTTGGATGGGTCGCACCCTGTAGCCATTTCCGCTTGCATTGTTCCGAACGAGACCCAGATGTGCTGCCTTATTAACAGAGTGGGCTCCTCGAAGCTTTGGTTTCTGCATATTCTTGGGCGCAACCGAACTTTCACCTTGCTTCACGTATCCTGGAATGCGTGGCTCTTCTATGGAGTCATTTCCTCTAAGTTCTCCTTTGCTGACGACAAAAGGACAGAGAGAGCTTCCCTTGTCAGGGAATGGTGTCTTATAGCAGGCTACATGCGTTAAAGTCCCGTCTTCGTTATCGTTAAATAGCTCTCCACGATGTCTCCTCTACCTTAAATTAGCATGTTTTTTTCATGAGATATGTGTGGTAACGTACGACAAAATGACAACCTAATTCGGTTCGTCCTTTGAACACATATCTACAATTACGAACCGGACATATCCATGGGAGATTCGGAATCGTATAGTCAAGATCATAGCCTTCAGGGATAATTGCGCCGCTGGTGCTGACAAGGTTTCCATTGGGAGCTAAATGTGCTGTTAGTAATTGCCAGCTTATGAGGAAGCGCCAAATGCTCACCTAGTAGCATCTTGTAAGACCGTTGTTCGCTTGCCATTTCTTTCACGTGCACCTCAGACGGTTCATATATCGGCCGCGGTGCATTTCGTCGCATTTCAGGGGTCCAATCTGCGAAACTAAAATTGTGAGATGTTTCGTCAGGACTTGAGGGTAAGGTTGGAAGCCAGCTCGACATAACCATTTCGTTTTTCTTTGTTCCCTTTGAAGGCGTAACCGTAAACGGACTAGGTACACTCGCCACTGCAGCCTTTGTGATGGTTTTGTGCGAGCAGTAGGTCTGGCACTGGTGGTAGAGACAGTTGGCGCAGCCGGTAATTGCATTTCTCGCATTTTCGGCCGCCGCTTTTGAGATCAGAGTGCAGCCCTTAAACGGCCCACGCCCTTGCGCACATCTTGTGCAAGGTGACGAGGCCACCTCTCCGGTAAGGTATACAATCATCGCGGATACGTCTTTGTCTAAACTGTCAAGGAAGGGGTTCGTATCGGTCCATATAGTATTCCACACTAAATCTCGTACGCGTGGCAGTCCAATGAGTTCGGGGACCCAGCTCAATTTTGGAGGTTGTCCTTTATGTTTGACCAAAAATGGCAGTACGTATCTCCACATCGCATCTGGGTCACCCTGAGGACTGCTTGGTGCTTCGTGCGACTTGTCTCGATTGCTGAACACGCCGTATATGGCATTTGCCGAGTGATCCAGCAGCTTGCGCCGTGATGGAAGCTGAGGGAGTGGTACGTGAGTGGTTTGGTGTCGATGCCAGTTGGAAAGTGTTGGCTCAACCATTGGTGGCTCATTAGGGTCGAGCGCTTTTCGAGAGACCACAATCGGCAAGCTTCGTAATCTCTCTCCGTTGGCAGCTTCCTCAGTTCCTACAACCGAGAGTGTCCCATCCCCATTATCGTTGAGAAACTCGCCGTAATGTTTGTTCTGTCATAGAGTGAGTATCACTTCGTTGCATACATGATCCAGACTCAACTGACGTTCATGTGGCCGCTGATTGCATGTCTGTTGTGAAATATTCTTCTGCACGATCGAATGGGACAAATCCAAGGATAGTTTGGATCAGTCCATTTCTTATAACCTTCCGGGAAGATTCCGCCTTTTTTAGTCAAGCCTGGCAAGGTAGTACAAGTCAGTCAAATCAGTAGAAGCGGAGCGGATGTGAGATATTGCAGCCACCTTCGAATGAGTTGTAGGGGCGATCTGGTGTGGCCATCCGGAGAGCAGGTGGGCCCGTTGACGTTCTGTATTTGTCCTCCCGGGTTCTTTTAGCCTTTTGTTTGGCTATCCACTCCTTTCTAGGAATCATAGAAATTTCTATCAACTCCTCAAGTATGGAATCTCGTTTCATTGTTAGGCGTTGTGTAGAATCGCCTGAATCTTCGGAGCTTTCGGCATCTTGTCGTGCTCCTTGGTTATCGTGCGAGATTTCAGACTCATCGGTGACGGTGCCATCCTCACTTCTGTCATTGGTCATGTTTTCTCCAGCCGGAACTCTGAAGAACTTGGGAGTTGCTCTCCCTCCTGAGGATTCACTTTCTCCATCTGCATCCATCTCAGTCCCTGCGATGACTGGCATCAGATACCTTAGTACGATAACAAAACTTTCAAAACAAGGATAATATTTACTCTTAGTCATGAACAATGGTTTGTCCTTCCGTGGCTGTTTCATCTCGTTCTCATCCATCATCCGAGGGCCTTGACTGTTAGGAGAGAAACTTTGGTAGTTGTTCACTTCAAATACAGCGCGGCTTTGAAGTGGCTCTGCAGAAGCTTGCTCTTGTGCCATTGTAGATGCCCCGGATTGTCTGATACAAAACTCAGAAAGGTAAAGCGAGATCTCCACTGGTCCTCTTCGACAAGGACAGTCACTTCTGGGCGGGATCAGCACCCAAAAGATGCCCTTCCAGAGTTCAACTGAGTAGCTAGATACTTCAGTACTGAACAAGCTTAGTATGTTTGCATCAAAAAGATGTTGCGATGCATGTGAGCGCGCCAGTGTTATCGTCACTATGAAGATTCCATTTAAGAAAGATAGGCGTGTGATTTGAGAGTGAGATGGGAGAGTCTCCGCGTTTCAGGTGCCTTTCTACGCTGTCTGAGACTCGATTCCGTGAGGCAATTGCCTATTACAGACAGCTTGGCGGATATTGGCCGAAGACGTATCAGCAATTGCAGCTGCTTCAAGTGAGATGAATCGGGAGACACGTGATCTGTCCAGCATGGTGCATAACCATACCATGTCAGAATGCGGTCGTCACTGAAAGCGGCCACGGAAATTCCCTCTAGGTTGAGAAAAGGCAAGAGCCGGATGTGACGAGATGAGGTCTTTGACAGGTTGACAGGTCGCGTACCTCTTGTCGAAGGATAAGACTGCTCAATCAAATAATCTAATGAAAATCTACCGAACACCCCAGTACAGGAATTGTAGGCTCATCTAATGAAAGCAGACTCATGATAATCGAAATGCGGAATACTGATCCGCTCACGGTGGCTCTCATGACGAGCGATAGTTGATGAGAGTGCAAGTCTTGCAAGGTTGATATCGCGAACGTGTAACGAGGTCCGTGCGCACGCGCGACGCCCGATCTTTTCCACAGGCTCAGTATTCCTACATCTTCCAGCTCCGTGTAATACGGCCATGGGCACACGAAACGGTGATTTTTTACGACTGGTAATAGTATTGGACAGAGCATATGCCAATTGAGCCAATAGCCAGCACAACATAGTTTTTCAAGATATCCCTTTAGACGAACCAACATCTACCCTCTGCGTGCGCGATTGGCTGTGCCGCAGGCGCGGTACTGCTCGGCCCGTGCCTAACGAGCTCTCTGAGATAGGAAGGTGGCGGACTGTTGCAGAGCTCCAACAATGCGCACGTAACTTCGTAATCAGGGTGAGACTCCTTCAGAGGCTCTCCATGCCGAACTCCGACTCATTAGGCATCAGCTCGGTTTCTTTCTCCATCGCAGACATCAATTCTAACTTCAAATATCATCATCTTGGGATGCGTATTTCCTCCCTCTTCAATTGCAATTTCTACAATAGTACCCGGCATTGATTGCGATGCTGCGCAAACAATTCTTGTTCGCCAGCCTCTCGGGCATTGCGCTAGCGCAGTTCCCACCGGAACCAAAGGGCATTACGGTGCTGAGGTCCAAGTTCCACGAGAACGTCACCATATCATACAAAGAGGTACGCAGCCGGCGAACAACCCAGCCGCGCTAGATCAAGCTTTGCTCAGTAGTCACAACTAGCCTGGACTCTGCGAAACAACTCCGGGAGTCAAGTCCTATGCTGGATATGTACACCTGCCCCCCGGAACGCTGAACGACGGAAAAGGTGGCGAAACTCAAGACTACCCCATCAACACGTAAGCACGCCGATAAACATCACACATGATCCCCTGTATATGGATTGACAGCATAGCTTCTTTTGGTTTTTCGAGGCCAGAAAGGCGCCAGAAAATGCGCCATTGTCAATTTGGGTAGCTTATCAACTCCACTGTCACAATGCCGTGATCATGAGTACTAATCACTTCGTCAGCTCAATGGCGGCCCTGGCGGCTCCTCGCTAATGGGCGCGTTTGAGGAGCTTGGGCCGTGTTATGTCACATCTGACTCCAAAGACACATATCTCAACCCATGGAGCTGGAATAACGAGGTGAACATGCTGTTCCTAGACCAGCCCAACCAGGTCGGCTTCTCCTATGATGTTCCCACCAATGGAACTTTTCAAGCGGCCAGCGACAGTGACGGGGGTGACAGCGAAGCCGGCGGGTTTTTCCACGCTGTCCCAACCAATTTTACGGAAGACAACCCGCCTATCGCCAACCTGACGTCTTACCCGGGGACTTTTGCCAGCCAGAAACTATCATCGACGCAGAATAGCACTGCGAGTGCGGCGCACGCGCTATGGCACTTCGCACAAACATGGTTTTTCGAGTTCCCTCACTATAAGCCTGAAGACAATGGCATTAGTCTGTGGGCTGAGAGCTATGGTGGGCATTACGGCCCGGGCATATTCAAATTCTTCCAGCAGCAGAACGATAAGATTCGTGACGGGACTTCAAAAGAGAAGGATGCGCATTACCTGCATCTTAATGCTCTGGGTATTGTGAATGGATTAATAGATGTTGTTGAGCAGGGCCAGGCGTATCTGGACTTCGCATACAATAATGTAAGTTAGACTGTCATTATGGCCGGTCGGAAAGAACTGTCGCCTGCGCTAAGATGCAGCCTCTCAATCGTCATGAAAACGGCAAGAGCAACATCACTCTCAATATTCTCCAGCTAACAGGTGATATTCATGTTAGACCTATGGCATTCAAGGCCTCAACGAGACAGAATACAACGAACTCACAGAGAAGTGGCTTGAGACCGGCGGTTGTAAAGACTTACTGTTAGGTTGCCAAGCCGCACTAAAGGAACAAGAAAATGGGAATTACACTGGGAACTTGACCGAGGCGTGTGGCGGTGCTGAAGAATGTGTGATGTTGGGAGCCAACACCTACGCAGGGCGCGCAGGCACATATGACATCGCACATCCTTATGCAGACCCGTACCCACCGCCGTATATGTGTGAGTTCTCAACTCGCTTTTCTCCGACCTAACATCACTAATTCAGATTTAGTTGGTTATTTCACCCAAGAACACGTCCTTGAAGCCATAGGTGTCCCTGTGAACTTTTCATTCCATTCGAACGCCGTTGCCACGAGCTTTTTCGTCAATCACGACATTGTTCGAGGTGGGTTCATTGACGCGATAGCTTATTTGCTCGACTCGGGCGTCAAGGTACATATGATGTATGGTGACCGAGATTACATTTGCAACTGGATGGGTGGGGAGGCAGCCAGTCTCGCCGTCCCCTATAGCCGCAAGGATGAATTTGCTGGGGCGGGCTATGCACCTTTGATCACTCCTGACGGAATAAGTGGCATGACAAGACAGGTCGGAAATTTCAGCTTTACGAGAGTGTTTCAAGCTGGCCACGAGGTTCCGGCATATCAGCCTGCCGCTGCTTACGAGATATTCATGAGATCGACCTTTCATAGAGATATCGCCACTGGTTTCATCCCTGTCACGGATGATCTTGTTACCGTGGGACCGAATGATACAAAACATATCACGAACGTGCCGCCAGAGCCACCGAAGGAGAAATGCTACATTTTGAAGCCGATGAGTTGCGCGCAACATACATGGACGAAGTTACTAAAGGGTAATGTGACAGTGAAGGACTGGTATATCGTTGAAGAAGACGAAAGTTATAATATGGTGGACGATGAGAGCCAGGTTGTTTTGGGAGATCTCTGAGCTCATGATACTCAGCCAGGCGCAAAGAGGACGGTTTTCAAGCTGATGTATATCTAAGATTAAGGTTGGATTACTTGCGGATTATCACATTGGCGATGCACGTCTTGCACTAGTCTGTGATCCAGCGCGATTTCAACAATTTGGGTCTCTTCGATTCGAGTTATATCAGAATATAGAACCAAGTCTAACAAAGGAGGAAATTTTTATTATTCTATCCGCAATACATCATTATGCTACTGATTGAAAGTCTCCTGTTCGGACTCTGACGCCCGTTCGTCTCCGCATTCTTTCTAGCACCCGATTATCCAACTCCCTCATGCGTTTATCCGTTTCCTCCGGGTCTTCTTCTTCATTCTTGTTAGAACGTTTGTCATAGAACCACCATGTCCCGACCACTAATGCAGTGAGTGGTACCATTGCCACGAAGTAGACCCACAGTCGCTTGGATACGGGGCCATTCATGTCTGCAAATTGCCGAAGTTAGCTTATCAACAAGGAGTACATTTGATAAAATATCAGAAGCTCACCGGCGTCAAAGTTGAAAAAAGGCATGCTGAACATTGATGACAAAAATGTGCCTGGGAGGAAAACGGCTCCCAGCAGTGACAATGTTTTCATCGAGGTGCTGTCACGCTTGCTGGCATCCGCTAATCGATGTTGCTGTGCTGCAATTTCCGCGTTCAAACGTGACTCTCGTTGATCGAAGATATTGGATATCTGGCACTGGATTAGCTCCAATCCGCGAACACCATTGAACACCAGGTGCAGCAACATACCACCTCACGCTGTGCATTAAGTCGCTCCATCGTAACATGAGAATAACTCTCCAGCCCTTCAAGCTTCGCCTTGTAAAAGTCGAGTCGGCTTTGCAGAGTATCATGTAGGCTTCGGAGTTCGGGGACCTTGTTCTCCTGTGGTAATATGTTCCAGAACGCTGTCATTGCCTTTTCCAACCCTTCCACAACCTTACGCCAAGCTTCAGGTCGCTTACCCATGACTCTACATTGCCACTCCACCAGTTTACGGCTGACTGTATCAATATCAAAGTCCTTCTCTGAAACATATCCTGGTGCTTCCACAACTTGGTAGCGATCACTCAGAACGGACTCAAGGATGCGAACTCCCTCTCGGGCATCTCGCTGTATCATGTCGTTGTCAGCGGAAAGCTCGCGACCTAGAACGAGGATTGGTAGTAGAAATGGATGGCACGCTGGCCGTGCACAAGACTTTAATTGCTCCAGGACAACCTCGAGTTTGGCAGATTCGGTCCCTTTGACGTAACCTGACGTAACTCGTGTTTCAGTGCAATAGGACAAAATCAATTCGAAACCTCTGCCAGTTCCTTTCCATTGCACATCCGATTTGCGGAATACAGCTTCTAAAACTCATTAGAACCTATATCTAGCCATCAACCCTAGCAACACGGCAGTAACGTACGAATACACGGCTTCGCTGAGTGTGGGTCGAGCTGCCACCAGAAGAAGGGACCAACAACGCTCGAAGTCTCTATTGCGCGAAACGGAAGATGCATCTCGCGCACCAGCGACTCATAATGCTTCGAGCTGAGTGATAGCACCTGCGGTACGAAAGTGTTGGGCTTTAGAACCTTCGCCTGGAGCCTGCAATGGATAAGCGTTATACTTTAAAGCTCGGTTGCCCCTTCGATCCCGACTTACACTAGCCGAATGCCATCCTTGAAATCATTGCCTTTCTCTGGCTTTTTGAGAAACGTGCCCTAGTTATGCGTCAGTACGATGCGACTTTTGCATCTTACCTTCCTATGAGTTCGGGACGACGATAGAGGAACGAACTTTCCGAGTCAAGAAATTGTGAAAATCGTCATTGCTCAAGTGAAAATGCTCGGTTTCGCTAAGCTTCGGATCCTTAAATGTTTAAGACTGTTATCAGCGCGTGTTCTCGACGCCATTTTGAAGGTTGTCAAGAATCAGAGTGATGAGGATGAATGGCCCTACATATGGAGAATAGTTCAATAACTCCAAGTAACTTGTTGGTTCCGGTTCACTTCTACTGTTTCGCAGGTAATCTGAAAAGAGAAACTCGTCCATCTTCAACATCAAGCGGATTTATACTCACCACGAGATCAGTCGCGAGAGGCTGGCATCTCCTGAATGAATGGTGTTCGAGAAGGCTCTGGATTGCTATGAAATCTCGTCATTCGAGAGATGCTGCGTGACCATGAACTTGCATATTGAGAGTCGATTTGATTGGGTTGGCGTAAGCAGTTGCATGTGCTAGCCCGTTCGTTCTGTTGCCATTCTTATGTAATTGCTTGACATCAAAAAGTACACGCTAGCTTCACGGTTCTGCCTAATCAAATCTTCTCTTAAGAGCACACAAGTTGGCCGTGGTGCTTATTCTGTTAGTTGCTCAGTCAACTGATATGATAGAACTCTGTGAAGTCGTTGACAGTGACATGAGACAACCTCTCAAATAGCGGCGATGAAGCGGCAGATCAACAGATCGATGACCTCAGCAATCCCGATAACGTGGTCAAGGTATAACCCTCTCGTTGTATGTCATACTTGGCAGCATGAAAACAAAGAGTTAATGTCCTAAGACTTTCTTGGTGATCTCAGGTTGTTCGACGGATCAATAGCAGGTTATCATCGAATGAAAAAGTACGCGGATATCTGCGGAGAGCACATCTTTCAGAATGTATATATTGCTATGAAAGCCGATTAATTAAGTAGTATTTGGTCTGGTTATTACGCGGAAGAAGTCCCCAGAGCCCCCATTGTAATGGTCGAGCATGGCGAATCGTATTCGGAAGGCTTGACGAACTTCACCTCAGGCTCATTGTTCTCACCTAGCACGATCAAACTCTCAGTGTCGGGATCAAATGCGGGCCAACCAAGGTTACCCAAGCCTGAAACGGGATCATCACTGAAAGCGAACCACGCCTTCTGCATCTTCTCAGTTAAGATGCGTTGGTCCGGCTCTGTAGGCAAGCCACTAACATCGGCAGATGCGCCGAATATCATGTGTAGGTCCACGCCGTGATATGCACCGCTCGTAGGGTACAGACGGGTGTTGTTCCAGTCTGCCATATATCGCCAAGCATATGACGGCACACCATGGACACGGCGAGCTTCAGCTTGATAGGACACAGGACAGGTGAATGACTCGAGAAGGAAAGCCGTTACTTGGGCGTCTGTTGGTATGACACCGTTACCGTAAGCAGGAATGCGATAATAACCATCCTCGTTGTTGTTATGTCCGAGGAATATAGGGACTTTGGCGAAGCTGCCTGCGGCTGTCCGATTAACATAGTCCGAATATACGATCTCATCGTCGGGAATAGGGTAGAAAGCAGGAATTGAGCGAAGGACACTGGTGCTGGATGTTGGCTTCACACTGGCCGCAGCCGTTTTTATCGACTGCCAGTCGACCTGACGCATGCAAGCCATAACATCCGTAGCATTGGTGCAGTTGACAGCTGTGACGACAGTGTTCCAGTTCTTCTCCGGAACGTCTTCAGCATTGACCGGAAAGCTGAATGCGTTGCCTGAAGGAGCAATGATGCCATTGACAATGGGGTCTTGTTGGTAGGCATAAGTCCAATAGTCAACCGACACACCGCCAGAGGACTGGCCAGCAATGGTGATTTTGAAAGGGTTGCCGCCGAAGCGTGAGATGTTGTCGCGAACCCACTCGACTGCAGCACGTTGATCACGGAGGCCTAGGTTTTGTATTTGACCAGGAGCACCGGGGAAGCCGAAAATATTGAGGCGATAGTTGACTGTAACCACAACTACGTCTTGTGCAGCCGCAAAATATTTGCCATTGTAGAACGGGCTATCGGTATTGCCAATTGTAAAACCTAGTAGAGGTATCAGCCTGAAATTGGGGGATCGCATGGTGCATATCACTTACGTCCACCGTAGAAGAAAACTACAACTGGCTTTGCCGCTTTGTCGGAGCTGCTAGCCGCCTTGGACCAAATATTGAGCGTTAAGCAATCCTCACTCTGGGGAGTTGCTGCTCCAGATGCGAAGTAGGAAATGATGCGCTGTGCTTGCGGAGTAAAGCCGGGATAATCGACCTGCTTAGATGGCGACAGCGGGCAGTCGAATCCAAAACTTGCAGCTTCAGAAGGCTCCGTCGCAACAAATCTCTCAGGCGGCGCAAAACGCAAGTCGCCCACGGGAGGCTTCACATACGGAATGCCGAGGTATTCAACCACACAATTGGAATTGTTCGCGAGGTGGCCCGTTACCGGCCCATTGGATGTGTTCACCGTGAGGTATTTTGATGTGTCACAGCCAGTGCATGGAGAACCTACAGTCAAGGTGGCACCAAGCCCGGCGACAATCACCTGTGAGAACCAAGACCGCATGTCGATCAGCGGATGTGGCTGCTTCTGTGTCTGATCAACTGTCCCTTGACGAAATGGTCAAGGTCAAGAAAGTCTGCGTTAATGAAATTAGGCAATTGACATTATAAAGACGTAAAAGTAAACCCTGACCCGTGGCTGACCGAGACAGGGCTACCTACGGAGCTATCCTAATTTCATTAGGTTGATGCCTCGGATGGGATGGAGACGAGGGAACAAGATCTGATTACCACAGGGACCATGGATTTGTGGAGTAGTTGCTGGCGATCAAGACACAAACCTGGGGCCCACCAATCAGCTACATATTGCAAGTCTTTTAGGCGAGTCGGGGCCTGGCGAGGTGGAACAATTGACTAGAGATAATTCAGCACATCGGTGTTTTTGGTTTTTGTCGAAGTCCTCTCGAGGTCCTCTTGGCGGTTGAGGGATCGTCGGTTGATGGAGAAGAAGCTAGAGAAGAGTCTCCATAGGCTTGCGTAAGGAAGAGGGATCTCATAACGTTATGTGGTGTCGTCTTAACATTCCAGGTTCTAGTGACCTTGGCTGCTCCAGTTGTAGCAATAGCCCGAAATTTGATCAACGGCACAGCAGCCCATACAGAACGCCATTTCCAATTCACTTCGCATTTAGTGCTGGGCTAGGTTGGACATTGAGAGCCCGCCTAACAACCCCATCCTGGCATATTGCTGCACTAGCGCTTGCAGCAGACTAACTCAAGAGATGTTGCTGGGTGCCGCAACCATCGAGCCATGGCGCATGGAGTCGGAGGGATTCAATCACAAAGATTCTTGGGCAGCCCAGACTTTTGTTTCTGTGCATTACTCGATAGTACTCTGCGTATGCCGGATTTAGCACACAAGAGTTTACAGCGCTGCAGATCTACAAGATGAATTACCTTGCTGGGGCATTGTCTCACAGCTATCCCCACACCCACTTCTCGTACTTCTGCAGGCACTGCTCTTTATTCTGTGTTGGTGCTTGACAACACGTCTACACTAGGATCCCCTTTCCTGAAGTTCCGCTATCTGCAGGTCTCTAGCGGGATGGTCGCACCGATGTGGTGTCCCAAGAGGCAACAGCCAGTAGACAGCCCATATCCAAAAAGCTCAAATTTCCACACCCCCTACAAGGGGTGAATATTGTGTAGAAAAACTCGGTACATAATAACCACTACCACTCTCTGTAAGATATCGTCCCTCGTCCTTCTATCTTTCTTTGCTTTGATCTCTTGGCCCTTGCTCCCCGATGCGTCCGTGATCATGGGTAATAGAGGTATAGGCTTCCCCGCCGATGGGGCAGAAGACCAAGGTTGGAAACTTTATATTACATCCCTGGTCATGATCATCTTGGCTGGCCTATTCGTAATCGCCAGATTAGCGAGCCGATATTGGCTTTTCAAACTCGGCTGGGACGACCTCGCAATTACATTCTCATTGGTGAGTTCATGTGTCAGGCACCGACTTCTGTTGGAACCCCTTCGGATGAAAAGAGGATGACTGACAGATGAGCGTATCTGCTCTCATTTTTCTTCAGGGTTTCTCTATTGTTGTCTCCGTAGCCATGCAACTCGCTATAGAAAATGGTTACGGCATGCATAAAGCCGACCTCGAGACCGCGGAGCTTCGAAAAGCATTGAAACTATTCTTTATTGCGCAAACACCATACAAGGTCACCGTGTGTCTTAACAAGGTAGCAGCAATCTTGTTCTATCTTCGCATTTTTGTCACAAAGAGATTCCGCGTCTCGGCTTATACAGTCATGGCAGTGGTAGTGGCTTGGAGCATCGGTGCAATCGGGGCTACAATATGGCAATGCGTGCCTATCGCTGGAGCGTGGGACAAGACAGTCGATTCTAAATGCATTGATTCGGACGCATTCTGGATCGCCTACGCCGTGATGAATATTTTGACAGATATTATGGTCCTGGCGCTACCTGTGCCGTCCATTATGAAACTCAAACTCAGTCTCCGAGACAGACTGCTACTATGTAGCGTCTTCCTCATGGGTAGCTTGTGAGTCTCACTTTACCAGATTTTACGTTTCGCTCAATCTTTTCAAGGTTCATTACCGTTCTCTAACTTCTTGTAGTACTACCATCGCATCTATTCTTCGTATCACCTCTGTTCAAAACTCGCTGAAGAACAAAGAAGACATCACCTGGAACTTTATCGAAAGAGGGATGTGGACACTTATCGAAGCCAACCTCGGCATTATAACTGCTTGCCTGCCTGTGCTCAAACAGCCTCTGGGGCACTTGTTTCCTCGTCTCTTTGGCTCGACCAGGAAAAGGACATCTTATTATGTCAACCATCTACATGGTCAAGGCCGAGGATACAATTTGTCGAATGTGTCTGCTCCAGAACCCAGCCCAGGATTCTGGCGTGGACCAGCTAAGAGCCAACAAGTTCGTACTATTAGTGGTCCCGAAAGCTCAACGGATAGAAAGAGCGACGAGCAACACATCATTGCGGCGTCGACGAAAGGGAGCGACAGTGAGCCCGAAAGCAGAGGGTCTTTTGGCATGGGCGGTATAGTCAAAAGGGTTGACCTAGTGAGAACATCGTTTCATCAAGATTCGAGGGAATAGCATTTAGGATTCAATCTCTATGAGACACGTGTCTGGATTACCACGTCTTGTAGTACCTATTGTTTAGAAATGGAACAACATAATGGCCAATAATACCTTAACAGCGAGCGTCTGCTTCATCATTGTTCGTTGACCAATACGTATTTATATTTTGGCCTTCCAGCTTCAATGTCCAGCACAGCTCGATTTGCTTCTTTCATAGGCCGTTCCTCAACCCAAGGCTTCATTTTCTTGTCAGCTGCTAATTGTAACATCTGCCCGATCTCGTCAGGAGAGCCAATCATCGATGAAATAAATTTGATTCGATTTATCATCAGAGGATAGTATGAGATCTTCAAGATCCCTCCATCGGGAGCTCCAATCTGGCAAAATGTTCCATCGAAGCGAACAAGATTCAGATACTCGGTTAAAGGCGCCTTGGTTATTTTCAGTATACATTGGCCAAGAGGGATGGTAACTGGGAGACTTACCTTAGCATCCGAAACCGTGCTAATAATGAGATCCATGCTGCGAAAGTATTTCTTGGTCCATTCTGTATCTTCAGCCGTTGATGCATACTCGTCAGCCCCAAGCTTTAGAGCATCTGCGGCCTTGTCTGCTTTTCGACTGATTGCAATCACTTTATCGGCACCGAGAGCCTTGGCCATCAGGATTCCAAAGTGGCCTAGTCCGCCGAGTCCGATGATCCCGACTATTTTCCCAGGTCCGCAACGATTTTGTTTCAGTGCGCTATAAATCGTCACTCCAGCGCACAGCATTGGGGCAGCGTCAGCGGACTCAAGTTCATCGGGGATTTTAACAACGAACTTTGCGGGACATCGTTGGTATGTAGCATATCCCCCCATTGCAGGAGTGCCGTTGTGATGGAGGCTATTGTATGTCCAGGTCGGCATAGCGCAATAGTTAGGCATGTCGGCCTTGCAAGCATCACAAGAGCCACATGCATCAGCTTGGCAGCCGACTCCGACACGGTCGCCAACCTTGATGAGCCCATCTGTCTCTGTACCCACGCGTATAGCAATGCCGACGATCTCATGGCCCACGCAACAAGGATATATTGTCGGATACTACGGGCACAAAGCGCCTGTTAGATTTGCCATCGCAGGTGGAAGTGCGACAAAGGAGAGCAACGCAATAGAGAACTTACCCAACCACTTCTGAGAACATGCACATCACTGCCACAGACTCCGCAGTGTGTGATCTTGATATCAATATCACTTTCTTCCCATGGCTTTGGCTGAAACACTTCCCATACCATGTTTCCTTGCGCAGCGGAGGGATCACGAGCAATCCAGCCTTCAAACTTGTAATTCATACTCATTCCAAGTGGTGTCTGACATAAAATAACTTTCGTATTACCTAGAATGATGAATCAAGTGTGATCGAGAACCTGATCAATGTCCCGCCAGCGTTCAGCCCAACGAATATATACCTTACAAAAGATAATATCACACAGCGAGATCCGAAAGATTTCTCGGAATTATGCTTGATTTCCTCTATAATCTCCTATCTCCTGGGCTCTGAGCTGCTCTTGACAACGACATATCTGGTCTCGTACGTGGGTCAGAGGCGTTGGAGCCAAGTCGGAGGTTCTCCAATGAGAGGTCGCCTGCAACAAGCTGACAATTGCATAAACCAATCAGAAGCATCTTGCAACCAAGCCAACTTAACGATATTGTTACTTAGGTGGAGATAAGTCTCCTCAAGTACAAGCTGGATGAGATTTTACTTCAAACAAAGCCAACTTTTCACTGTCTTTGTCAGCTCACATGATGGGCAGACATCAGCAGTTGATAATACAAGAGTAAAATTTGCGTGGCGTATGAACTGGTTTCAACTACATCCATTACAAGATAGCATTTTTTTCGCCACGTTTCCCTCGCCAGCAATTGGTTGATCGTATGATCTCATCGCAGCCTTCTAATATCCAGTGCCATTTATGTATAAATGCCTCTGTAGCCTCCCACATATTTGCGTCGGTCGGATCACCCCAGATTAGTAGGATAGGGCGTTGTTCGATGCTTGTATTTCTTCGTGCTGTCTCACTCCAGTTTGTTCCATTGGAGCATTCTTCCTCGATGCCAAAGTCAAGTGTCAGGAGATCACAGCACAACTGATCCTCATCAAACATGTCTTGCGCACTAATGATATTTTCTCTCATTCTTGGCAATGGAAATAGATCAATCCATGGGTGATGGGGAACTTGGTTCTGTATGGTAGTTGGTCTCAAGTTTGGGGGGGCCTTTTGCAGCGACTCTTCAAACTCGATCGACCGTGGCCCCTGGAGGCTGAAGGGGGAGACGGATTCGTAGTGAAGCCATTCATCTCCGAACCCAAGTCGCGAGTTGTTGACAGACAATGCTTTAAAGACATTCAGTTTAGTGACAATCGACAAATTCATGACTGAGGGCGACCC